TTTGTCCTTTTTTTTTTTTAACCAATGTGCAATTAGACCTATGACTTCACCGTTGCCGAAAAAACAACGAAATCTCTTTCATCCGAGCATTTTTTGGGCCAAAAAGGTATCTCTTCGCTATATTTGGAGGTAATATTTTGCCCTTTTCTTTTTTTGTCAAGACTTTACTTTCTTTCAATGGACTCAACGCTCTTGCATAAACTGAGACATAGTTATTATTTTTATACAAATGCGTCAAACAATATTCTAGCCCTTTCCTCGTGAAATAAGATATCACAAATAGCATCATGTGAGATTTCACTCTTTTTTTCATCGGTGACGATATTTCAGGTCTAATTGCATATTTGGCTCAAAAAATGCCAAAATGTTGGTTGNTTTAAAGTAGGGTAGTTAAACCACCTTTTATTTAATTTATACATAAACCACATTTAAAGTTGGTTTTTGTTACAATCAACCATCTCCTAGTCAAATTCTTCACTTCAAACTTAAAATTACCCATAGACAACTTGCATTCAATGTATTGACTCGTTTTTTGGTGTTTAGGACTTGTTAATGTACGTGACTCATTTCTTTGGACTTGTTAGGATACAAGTCATGTACCTTGAACTTGAGAAGCTCGTTTTTTGTTTTTTAGTAAAAATTTAACTTGGAGGTGTTTGATTGCAACAAAAACCTACTTTATATGTGGATTATGAATAAATTAAAAAAAATGGTTTCCACATAATTACCCTATTATCAAGGTGGTTTGTAGGAAAAAAACGTTAGAAAAGAAATACTAAAGTCATAAGAATGATATATATAGAAAACACCAATCTTGTAATTTAGCCCTTTGTTATGAATGTCAAACACTAAAATCTATACATTCAGCTCTTATGGTTTGAGATGTGATACCTATTGAATAGTTTTTTGTGTATCGAGGCTCAAATTTGAACCTTTTGTATCTTGATATGAGCTCCTCTAAGGTCAAGTAAATATTCATTATACATATGAATGTAATTCAAAAGTTGTTTTCTATATGAATTTATTTTGGTTTTTGCTTACCTTGCCCAATTCCTAATTTTTTGGGGGGTGGGGGTGAGGGGTAAATGAGGATGAGTAAGCCCCATGTTTGCCACTAATTCCCTCTCCTCATCCTCACTTCTCCGCTTTTTTCCCCCTTAATCATCGCCCTAGTTAGAAAAAACCATTATTTTTTAATGAAGTTTACTTACGAAAGAGTATAACTATAACTGGGGGAAAATATGTCTAGGCCCCAAAAGTGAAAACTTCATGTGACAAGGCCCCTTGTATTCTGCCTCATGTGGCTAAGCCCCAAATACACACAGTATTTGTGACGAGACCTCAAAGTATCAGTTTTCAAAAAAATCCCATTGGAAGTTACGAACTTGCCCCTTTGATGGGACTGAACTAGGTTACTGCGCCCCCTCCCTACCCAAGTACCCTCTTGATCTTCCCCCTCTCTTCCACCACTGAGGAGCCATCGAAACTCTCGAACTTTCAAAAACTTCATCGCATTTCAACAGTTCTAGGGTTTTCACGGGAAAAATACCATCCAGTGAAGCAGAATCCGTTAACGACTACGAAGTCGTTTATCGTCGCGAGCTAAAGGACAAAGATGGTTCATCTGGGGTTGGCAGCACGGAGGAAGCCATTCAAACCCTTATGAAAATGCAAAGGGAGGCATTAGAATGACGAGACCAGAAAAGAAGAACGGCAAGGGCTGGCCGTACCAACGAACTATCCCCAAAAAAGCAGTAAGTGCTATGTTATCTAGTATTTGGGGACTCAGTCTAATTTTCCCTAATTTCAATTCATCTTAAACAATGCTAGATTTTACCACAGTCTATTTTAGTTCTAGTTTGAGTCCATATTAGTTCTAGATGCCCGTTAGTGTTAGGTCTAATTTTTGCCACGTTAGGTCTAATTGAACTTGCAAATTTAATTTTTTTTAAAGGAAAAGTTGTTGATACTGATGTGGGCGAATCAATAAGGCTAACCACCAATATCGGGGTTTATTAGAATTCATGAAGCGTATTGCCCCGAAGATTCGTCAGTGGCATAGGGATGCATACTGCAGAGCTATATTTGAACACTATATATTATTTGGGGCTCATGCGCCTGATCGCCCCACACTTGAACTACTACTGAGCTATTATGATAGTGATAATAACACATTTTCTATCTCTGATTCAAAAACTGGTAGAGTGAAAAGTATTAAATTTGATTTACAATGGGTCCATAACCATACTTATTTCTCAATTTATTGGGAAATCATAAGTATCAATCGGGACTCAAGAAACAGAATATGGGTGGAATACTTCACTAATCTTTTCAAAACTGAAGAGGGGAATAAGTTAAAAAAAGCAGCAATCACTCATCGAAGATACCTTGAAGGAAAACTGAAAAGGCTTGTGAAATCTACAGAAAAGCAGGATATTCAAGACTTTGTTTTGATGCAAAATCTGTACCAATGCTCTATGATATGGTGCCCCAAAAGTGAGGAAGGTATCCTAGACTTGTACTCAGGTACCTGGATAGCATTAAGAGGGTCAAAGGAGTTGCATGGGCCTAATTCTTTTATTCAGAAATTACCAGGAGCATTGGAGTTGCTTTGGAGGGCAAGAAGAAGTCAGTGGTCACATATGTCCCAGGTTGCATGACACTACTGTGTGTAAGTTCCATGTTTTACTTACTTTGGTTCATTCTAGTTCTAATTTATGTCATATTAGTTCTCACTTATATTAGTTCTAATTTATATCCTGTTAGTTCTAGCCACAATAATGTTAGTTCTGGCCGTATTCAAGTTAGTCCTTATTTGGGTCATGTTAGTCTTAGTTGGCGTCATGTTAGTTCAGAATTGGGTCACGCTAGTTATAATAAAGGTCATGTTAGTTCTATTGCATGTTTGCATCTCATGTTAGTTCTATCTCATGTTAGTTCTACTACATCTCATATTAGTTCTATCTCATGTTAGTTCTATTAGGAGTCATGTTAGTTGGTATCATGTTAGTTCTAATGGAGAACATGTTTGCTACTTCTAATTGAATTCATGTTAGTTCTATTACAAATCATGTTCATTCTAATTTATGCCATGTGAGATCTAATTTATGCCATATTAGTTGTAATTTAGAACTACCATGTGAGTTCTAATTTATGTCTTGTTAGTTCTAGTTGCATCAATGTTAGTTCTAACATAAATCATGTTAGTTCTACATGGGCTTATGTTGGTTCTAATATAGATCATGTTAGTTCTAATTTATGTCGTGTTAGTTCTAATTTACACCATGTTAGTTCTAGATACACCCATATTTTACTTACTTTGGACTAGTTTAGTTCTAATTTATGCATTGTTAGTTCTAATTTGATTGCTTAATGTATTTGCTACAGCTTTAGTACTATGAGATGACGGGCATAAAGAAATATGCTTACGTTGACAGCTCAAGACCTCCAATAATACATTGGGCATCAGAGAAGATGAAAGTCACATCTATGAGGGTGAGGATAATTACAAATAAGGCTAAGTTAGCTTCAATATACAAATAAGGCTAAGTTAGCTTCAATAACTTTTGCTCATAGGCCTATTGTGGAAGTTGGGTCTGCTCCTTCAAATGTACATGCACTTCCCGCAGTACAGAGGGGTGAAGGAGTGCATCATAAGCTTAAAGCAAAGAGGAAGGCGAATGAAGAGGAAACAAATAAGATCTTCTCGATAGGCTATATAAGTATCCTGTTATGTTGAGTCTAACTTATTTCACGCTAACTCTAAATAATATCCGTGTTATGTCTAATCCTACTTTAAATTATAATCTCTTCATAATCTCATATCATGGCAAAGCATATTGACGTTGCTTTTGAAGATGAAGAGGAGGTGAATGATCTACCCATTGAGCAACAACTTATTTTTTTAGAGAAATTCTACTAAATTTCTCAAACGAATACTATTTGTCACAAAGCAGAGCAAGAGTACATATTGTAAAGAATTTATAATTAAGATCAATAGGTTAAATAGAATAATTGAAGAATTTGGAAGACACGATGAGGTTATAGACCCAATGGTGCTGAAGACAAATATCAAATAGAAAATTGAAAAAAAAAGTTGAAGCCACGGGTAGCTAAGGAGGAACAGAAGTCCAAATCAAGCTGTATACATAAGGAAGACCCCACCATGCAAGAAGCTATACATAAGATTGTTGAAGAGGATATTGAAGATCCTGTTGATGATGTAGTTAGAGAAGAGGAGATTGAAGATAATAAGGTTGAGGAGAATGTAGATATGGAGGAGGAACTTGTAGATAGGGAAGAGGAGCATATTGATAATGAAAAGGAGATTGTAGATAGGGAAGAGGAGATTGTAGATAAGGAAGATGAGAATGTAGATAGAGAAGAGAAGATTGTAGATAGTATGGTTGAGGAGAATATAGATAAGAAGAATGGGAATGCAGATAAGGTAGAGGAGCATGTTGGTAGAGAAGGGGAGAATGTAGATAGTAAGGTTGAGGAGAATGTAGATAGTAAGGTTGAGGTGAATGTAGATATGGAGGAGGAACATGTAGATAGGGAAGAGCATCATATTGATAATGAAAAGGAGATTGTAGATAACAAATGTGTAGATAACAATCATGTTGATAGTAAAGTTGTAGAGGAGTTGGAAGCACAGGAGAAAGAGGATTTTGTAAATATTACACAACAGGTGGACAAAATTATAGAAGTTCTAACAAGTAATGTGCAAACGAAGGGTAGACCACCGCCAAGAAGGGTAAGCAAGAGATCTAAATAGAAGAGGACCCCATACACAGAAGGAAAGGGAAAGAAAAAGAAAAAAATTACTATAGATATAATTTCAAGTTCTGAATATGTACATACAGTTGGTAAAGTTACTAATTTTTACCCCGGTAATCAAATTCCCACTTGGGATGCGTTGAGTTTGAAGCCAATGACAAAGGAGGAGAAAGCTCTATTGGGCGAGCTAAATGAAAAGATTTCAGACCCTGCTTTGTTTAACATACGCATAATAGATAGCAGAGGTTCTTTTGTACATAATTTTAGGATACCATCTTCAGTACCAGCCAGACTCGACAAGGCTCAGAATAATTATCTAACCAAATTTTACGCCCAAAAGATTCACAAGTAAGTTTCAATTGACTATTTATGCAAACAGTAATTCGTCACATGTTAGTCCTAATTCATGTTAGTTCTAATTTTCAGGAGATATGATGTCATAAAAACATTCAATAGCAGTATGAACAGAGAAGAGTTATTATATTTGCTTCGTAGTGGCCGGCTTAACGACAATGTTAGATTACATATGCTTAATAATTGAAAATGACTTGTTTATACTGAATTTTAATGTTTCATTGGTGTTACAGATGGAAGAAGCAGTGTTAGACACGCTTCAGCAAGAGGAATATGACAAAAAATTTGGAGTCATCTCAGTGTTCTTTCTTGTAAGCACATACTAGTTCTAAATTAACGTGTTAGTTTTGACTGAAATGCATATTAGTTCTTGTTGGCTCCATGCTAGTTCTACCATGAGTCATGTTAGTTCTAGTTAGCATCACATTAGTCCTACCATAAGTCACATTAGTTCTAATTTATGCCATGTTAGTTCTAATTTTTGTCATGTTAGTTTTAATTTATGCCATGTTAACTATAATTTACACCATATTAGTTCTAGCTACACTCATGTTAGTTCTAGCTGTATTCATGTTAGTCCTTATTTGGGTAATGTTAGTCTTAGTTGGCGTCATGTTAGTCCTACCTTGGGTCATGTTAGTTCTAATAAAGGCCACGTTCGAATTTATGTCATGTTAGTCCTAATTTATGTCATATTAGTTCTACCATAGCTCAGTTAGTTTATGCCATGCGAGTTCTAATTTATGCCTCGTGAGTTCTAATTTGTACCATGTTAGTCCTAATTTATGTCATGTTAGCTCTATCGCGGCTCATGTTAGTTCTAATATATGTCATATGAGTTCTAATTTATGCTTTGTGAGTTCTAATTTGTACTATGTTAGTTCTAATTTATGTTATGTTAGTTCTATCGCAGCTCATATTAGTTCTAATTTATGTCATGTGAGTTCTAATTTATGCCACGTGAGTTCTAATTTATACCATGTTAGTTCTAATTTATACCATATTAGTTCTAATTTATATCATATTAGTTCTATCGTGGCTTATGTTAGTTCTAATATATTCCATCACTAGTAGAAAACAGAGTATTGGCGACGGGGAAATCCGTCGCCAATACAGTCAAATCCGTCACGAATGCACATTCGTGACGCCCACTTGCCCGTCACCAATAATCCCCTCGCCAATACACATTGGCGACGGGGTCATCCGTCGCCAATGTACATTGGCGACGGAGAGGTATTGGTGACGGGAAACATTGGCGACGGGTTTACCACCGTCGTCAATACACATTGGCGACGGGGTGCTTTCCGTCGCCAATGTGTTTTGGCGACGACAATCTTGCCGTCGCCAAAACACATTGGCGACGGGGGGCTTAATGCACCCCGTCGCTAATGTTTATTGGCGACGAAAATCTAGCCATCGCCAAAACACATTGGCGATGGAAAACACCCCGTCACTAATGTGTATTGACAACGGGGTTGAACTCATCGCCAATGATTATTGGTGACAGAAAGCACCCTATCGCCAATGTTTATTGGCGACGGCGATTAATGTACGTTGGCGACTGATTTCCCCGTCTCCGATGTTCATTAGCGACGGACCTTTTCGTCACTAATGAATGTAATTCGAGAAAAAAAATGCTACTTTTTGAGCCCCATTTGGGAATATATACCTGTTGCTTCCAATATTCATAAAATATTCAACAATATTCACATTCATCAATTCACATCCAATAGTATTCACATTCATCAATTCACATCCAACAGTATTCACACCCATCAATTCACATCCAACAATAATCACATTCATCATTCATCGATTCACACACACACACACACTATATATGCTCAACACAATCAAAAAATCGACAAAAGTAACAAAAGTAACAAAAAATCAACAAAAGTAACAAAAAAGTATAACTTCACGTATATATATAATCCGGAGGTCATTATATGCTCAACACAAAAAAGTCGATAAAAGCATGGATCTCTTATTAAACAGCCTATCAGGTTATTAAATCTGACGGCCCAATCCCCAACAGGAATGTTGCCCTTCCACTCCAAAATGGCCCGGTACCCTTTCGGAGGTACTTTCGTCTTTTCCTCACTCCCATGTCTACCGGGTTTCTCATAATCTTTTTTGCCTACAAATACAAAGAGAAATAAATTTCTTATAAACTTACATAAATAAATAAGTAAGCAATCTCCAAAGTTTATAGGAAATTATTACCCCTTTCCCTCATTAGATCAGCCATAGCTTTATCTAGTCTTTGTTTTATGGCACGCTCCTTTCTTTTAATATAATCTCTCCTAATTTTGAAGTTCCTATCGCATTTTTTTTGTAATGCAATAGCTTTTTCAGGTAGAGGGATGTGATATACTGATGGAGTCCAAGGGCGGAGACATGCTCTCTCTGACTGAGAAGATCCAGACATCATCTCGTGCTCAATCTCGTCATCACCAAATCCATCACGAGCATTGTCTGAAAACATATATTAGGAATATTAAACATCATTACATTACAAATGTAAATTAAGAATATAATGAAAGAAATAATAAAAATAATACCTAGGTCTGGCGATGCATCTCGATCCTGCGATGGATCCATTTGAGAAGTCCCCGCAATATCTAACAAAGACATATATATTATATGAGCATATAAATTTAACAATTGACATAATACAAATAAATAAATTTATACCTTCAATGGGTGAGGATCCATGTAGAGATAATGGACTCGGAGATGGTCTTGATGATGATCCTAGATAAATAAAAAAATAGTAAATATCATGCATATTTATATCACTAATACTATTTACTTCAACAAAATTTGAATACTTATACCGGATGATGGACCTTCTTGATCCCGAGGAAAAGATAGCCTCCTAATTCTTTGGCTCATCTGCAACTTAAATATTTAATAAATACATGCAAGATATAAAGTCGAATTTGCATAAGGATCTTTTTATTCAAACTCCTACATTACAAATATCAAATCAAATTTGCATAAGGATTTTAGTATTCAATCTCCTACATTACAGATATCAAGTCGAATTTGCGAGGTATACATATTAAAATTGACATTTTGGGGGTATGAGTAATTAATAAAAATTTCTCCTTCCGTCTCATTAGGGTCATCAGAACTGTCCGGATTTTCATCAAGAGCAAGCTGAACAAGAGTCCTCGGCTCCTTATACAATATGACCCAGACATTCTACACCTTAGGATCTTTGACGTAAAAGCACTGAGTAGCCTGATTTGCGAACATAAACTTCATGTCGGGATATATCTCCTTATCTAAATTTACAAGATGAAAACCATATGCATCCCTAGTTCTGTCTGCACGACACCAACGGACCTTAAACATCACATAACTACGTACATTTTTGGTACCGTACGCATAGAATATCTCCACAATATCTTCTAATTGTCCGTAATAAACTACATCACCAAGTACCGGATTTTGATCAGTTGAGCTTGAATAACATTCTTGAGAGAATACAGCCATGACCCTACTATTTTGGGTAACTCTCTCCCCCTCAAGCCCGACCCGTTGGAATAAATTTCCATTTATACGGTATCCGCTGCATTGTTTAACTGTATAGTGCGGTCCATGTGAGTGAATACTTATCTCTTCTGGCACTGGCAAACCTGCAAATCTTTGTCTTTCTACCTAATGTTGCATATAAACACAAATTAGCGTTAAATAGTTAGCCTTATTTATTCCCAAAATTAATTAAAAATAAAATCCACTTAACTTACTTCAGCTATGACCCACTCAGCAAAATGTTTTTCATGAATTTTTGCAATTTGATTTCGTGCTGACGCGCCAGTTATTTCTAAATGCAACTCCTCCACATGTCGTCTATTGATACAAAAATTAGAGTTCAACTATTGAAATAATTCAAAAAAATCAAGGCTTCTATCCCATTAAGAATATAGTAGTGCTTACATCTAACTTTGAATACTTTGTGCATTTTTATTTCTAGAAAATTTTGGCAGCACCTACCCGCTGTTCTCCAAGTACACTGTGCGGATGTTATTATGTGTATCGGTAATAAACCGAAATCGGTAAGTAATAAGCCGATACGCATAATAACATACGCTTATTGTACCCAGAGAACAACAAGTACGTGCGACCGAGATTTTCTAGAAATGAAAATGCACAAAGTATACCAAGTTAGATGTATGCACTACTATATTCCTAACCCGTCCGAACTGGACAGATCCAATAGTTACATGCCAATTCTTTCTTCTTATAATATAAATTAAGCGATCCATTTCGGCATAAAATAAAATTTTATACCCATAGTGGAATCGTCCATTTATATTATAAGTCTAAATAATTGGTAGTAATTATTGGACGGGGATCTACGGCTAACGTTAACTTGTTATTCACCTAAAATTAATATATAACACATTATTGTGTTATATATCACACTACTAATTTTTTTATAAAAATATATAAATCCTAAAGAGTAGAGAATGGAATGAGTTACAGCTGATATCACACAAAAAGTCAATAAGTTTGTAAGGAAACCTAATAAGCAGAAAGTCCTTTAAGTATGTGGGGGAACAAAACAAACTGCAATAGTGAACCAACCAAACTGGAAAATAATGTTGCTAGGCATTAGAAGACCAAAGCTAAACGTTTAGCAAGTTTTTTAGATTTACATCAGAAAGAACCAATCAGGTCAAGGACTCAAGGCTAATGTTTTTAGCTGGCACAATAAGCTTGCAGCATGCCGAAGCATTAATAAGTCATGATGCATGCCACTATTGAAAAAAGCAGTAGAAATCTTGGACCACATAAAAAATTAAAAACTAATCAGTTGGGTTATAAGATAGCGTAAATGCGCGGGCGCGCGCACGCAATATTGTTCTCCTCTCCAGGCTAAAGAAGGCCAGATAAACAAAGTTTGGAACAATTAACGTTTTTAAAGATCATTATTTGGCAGCATTGAAGCATCAGCATATAAATAATAAAATAAGAAGCAGAATCAACATAATTATTACCAACAGAACCAAGGAGCATAAATATGCTAATCAGATAAGTATAACAATCTCTTATCTCATCTAGTTGTCGCACCAGAGCTAGGGAGCCCAGACGTGTGGCCATGGTTGAAAGTCTTTCAAAGGCAATAAAATTTATGAACTTGCCTAATCGTACAGGGGGAAATAGAAGTCTCGCTTGATTTGTCTAACAAATGCCCCAAACTAATTGCATTCTAGTCCAACAAACTTGTTCTGTGCCTAGCATCAATGTCAAATCTTGGGTGCTCACTGTTGCAAAGACATGCTAAGAGAATTCAACAATAATGTATGTTTAATTTCATGCTCACTCCCGTACTCATCAATAGGATGTTCAAAGAGGATTATATAATTGTAGTTGGCAAGCCTGTAATTCATGATTCATGGCGTAATTGTAGAACATTATTTCTAATGAGCAACAGGAAAATTAAATTATATAATTGTGGTTTGTTTTGTTCAATCCAATGAAATTCAATTTGGAAAACACACAGAATATTACTTAGAAAAAAATACCTGATCTGATATTCAATTAACGAGGGTATGCACGAAGGTGGAAGGGCGTCGGCGGGGGAGGGGCGTCGCCGGGGGGGGGGGGCTACGGGCGTCGAGGGGGGGGGGGGGGCTGGGCGGGGCGGTGGGGGGACGGGGGGGAGGGTGCGGGCGGCAGAGGGGTGCAGGCGGGGAGAGGGCGGGCGGCGGAAGAAAAATCGAAGATGCTGTCTGGTGTCGGGCGGGATTGGTGTCGGGGGGGGGGGGCGGGGTAGGCGTCGGGGGGGTGGGGTAGGCGTCGGTCCGCAGGGGGCAGCGGGAGAGGGCAGTCGGCGGTGTGGTAGGGTGGAGAAGGAGGAGATCGCGACGAGAGGGGGCTGGAGAACATGGTTGGTTTTATAGTTGATACATTTCGTTTTACCCCTTGTAAGATTTAATTAATTTCATTTTGGTACCCAAAATCTCATATAACTTACTATTGCAACCCTCAAATCTGGCAAATATATCAATTTTCCTCTTAAGATCCTTGAGTTAAGAGTGAATCATTGGATTATTTCAATATTAACTCGCTCAAATCTTCAATATTTCCAAATCGGTCTCTCAATCTTCAATATTTCAAAATTACTCACTCGAGACTTGGAAATTTATAATACATCCCTCAAATCATACAATATATAACCTTTACATTACTTCTCACCTTCCTAAACAATTATGATTATCAATAATATTATAACTATTAATTATTTAAAAATAATAAAATAAAATAATTTATAAAATAAGTATAGCACAATTATTAGTGGTAACAATTAACCAATTATTAAAGTGATAGTATAAAATAGAATAATATATTAGTAAATACTATTAAGAATTATATTCTAATTTATAAAGCAATTAAATAAATAATAATAAATTTTGAATCACATAAATAATGTAATTATTTTAATAATATCACATAAATAAGGAATTATACTATATTTATTTAGTATTATATTATTAAATAAATTAAATAAATTATTAGTATTATTTTAGAGTATTTCCTAAAATATTATTACACGATAGTAAAATAATCTATATTGGTAATGATTGAAAATAACTTTTTATAAAAAAAATATTTATAAAATATTTATAGTACTAAATTAGTCAAGAGCATAATAAAAAATTAAATTAGAAAAATATATTATAGTAAATAGACAATATAATTATTCTAATAGTATTACTTGAACTGAAAAATTGAACTGGGTAAAAGGAAGTATAAAAAATCCTATATTAACTTCAACAAACTCGTCTACCATCTGAATTTTTGCTTTTTCGTTCAGATTAACTGATCCAAATCCACTTCAAATACGGGGCCGCTTCTCGCTTCGACTTTATGCCTAGTTCTTAGAGCTCTGGACGGACGAATAACCTGCACACATGCGAACGGTAAGAGGGCGGGGTTAATTTGTTTCTCCCGTGGTACCTCCGATGATCAAGTCAGTGAATTTACTCTTTTATGGCGTATTTAGAATAGTTTTTTCTGCATTATCATAGGAGCTTTAGATGTTTAAGCCAAAAAATCGAACCTCCTCCTAGGACAAATAATACCTGTATTTATAAAGGAAGCTAAAGGCGGATTCGTCACTTTAGGGAGGGTGTGGTACGTGACGGCATGGCTGAGTGAGCTGGAGGTTGATCCATCCTTTGTTATGAACATGTCAACTTGCGATTGTCGAGCCATCGTTTCCGTGGCATGGGGAGCTCGCGGTTGACCAAGGCTGAGTTGGTGGGCGAGGAATGGTCACTTCAGTAGCATGGGGGACTCGCAGCCGACCAGGGCTGAGTTGGTGATCCTTCGATATGGATAGGATCAGCTGAGTCCGTTCTTCGAGTCGTCTTTAAGGAAGGCTATCGACCCGACTAGAAGGAACAACTGTTTTCGGGATGATGTACGTGTAGAGAACATGGAATATCCCCATAACACTATTACAACCCTCAAATCTAACTAATATTACCAATTTTCCTATCCATAAGTTAAGAGTGAATCATTGGATTATTTCAATAGTAACACTCAAATCTTCAATATTTCAAAATTACTCACTCAAGTCGTGGAAATTTGTATTACATCCCTTAAATCATCACAATATATACTATTAGGTCCCCCGGTTAACGCCAGTTAGATTTATAAAAATAATCCTTTAAATCTAACTTTTTTACCAGTTTACCTTGACTTTAGATTATAAAAATTCAACTCGTTTAATTTGGACATAGTTTTGATCCGTTAAAACGTGAAAACCTAAATTCATTAAAAACTTCTTTTTTCTCCAACGTATACGTAGATATGAGACTAGTTTCTAAATCATAATCATCTTATAAGTACAAAAAGTTAT